TTGGAGCTATGTTGAGGCAGTTGATCTGTTCAGTCGTATTTTGAGAATAAATTCTTCATAACCTGACCTCCTCAATACTAACTTCCCAGGTCAGGCTGCCTTGGCTTGTTGGCGTAAGTGTGGAGTCTGGAAGATCGTGCTTCTGGCTAGAGTCACAATGGATTTTTCTGCAAATATTTTTATAGATATGCATATTATAAAGTACATTATCAGCACCAAATCCCAGGATCTCCCATGTATTTTGTCACTGAGTGAGACTCATGAAGGAATGGCATCTATTCGGTCCAAGAACAAGGCTTTTAAAAGCAGCAAAGTTCCTGAGAATGGTTTGTTCCTAAAAGGGGTAAATCCTTAACACGAGTGGGAAATACTGTCGCCTTAGGCTCTGCACAGAGACGATGCACTAATCCCACACACAGATTTTTTTATTTTCTTCTTCCAGTGACCAGACCCATCATAGACAATCCTTCCACCCAGAGCATGGAAAAAAAAACAAGAATCTTTCACTGAAAATTTGCAGTAAAATAATGATTTTTAAAAGTATTTTTCAGAAGCCTTTCTTCCCAAAGTAGATGTGCCACACACACTGATTTGAAAGATAAGTGAAAAGAAATTCAGTACAAGTTATTTGTATCAAAATGAGCATAGCGAACACTTGAGATACTGATCACTACCCTGTAGTGATGCTACAGAAATACCGATTTGCAGGATGGGAAGAACTAGGAGCAGGGAAGTGATCGTGCCCCTGTACTCGGCACTGGCGAGGCCGCACCTCAAATACTGTGTTCAGTTTTGGGCCCCTCACTACAAGAAGGACATCGAGGTGCTGGAGCGTGTCCAGAGAAGGGCAACGAAGCTGGTGAAGGGTCTGGAGAACAAGTCTTATGAGGAGTGGCTGAGGGAACTGGGGTTGTTTAGCCTGGAGAAAAGGAGGCTGAGGGGAGACCTCATTGCTCTCTACAACTACCTGAAAGGAGGTTGTAGCGAGGTGGGTGTCGGTCTCTTCTCCCAAGGAACAAGCGATAGGACGAGAGGAAATGGCCTCAAGTTGCGCCAGGGGAGGTTTAGATTGGATGTGAGGAAAAATTTCTTTACTGAAAGAGTGGTTAAACATTGGAACAGGCTGCCCAGGGAAGTGGTTGAGTCACCATCCCTGGAGGTATTTACAAGACGTGTAGACGTGGTGCTTAGGGACATGGTTTAGTGGTGGACTTGTCAGTGCTAGGTTAACGGTTGGACTCCATGATCTTAAAGATCTTTTCCAACCTAAATGATTCTATGATTCTAAGAAGCGGGTGTAATCCAATAAAACAATGCAATAATTATGAAAAGTGGAAAGAGGTCAAAGTCGAAAAACTTTTGATTTTTTTGCACTGGCATTTGTAAAGGTGAGCAAAATCCATCAGTAAGGAGCAGCCTGTTTTAACACATCTTTAAAAATGTTAATGTTTAATAGGGTGTGCTCATGCTTTATATATCCCTGATAACAATGCACGGGCTGATAGGTATCTCTTGAGGTTGTAAATCAGTTGCAGAGCCTTGCAAGGCACACAAGGACTTGGTGTTCACTCTCATGGTTTATTATGTTACCAGAACTCATTGACTGAATTATAGCCTTGTAACAGCTCTTTCTCTGCATTATCCTACTGTTACTGTAGCATTATTAACCTATGTCCCATTAGAAGATTATATGTCCTTCTCCAGATGAGTACACAGAAGTTAGATGACTTTGTGGCTGTTGTACAGGCTTATTTTCTAGGAGGAACTGATTATTTCCCTGAGCTATGCCCACAAAGTCTGCTTACCTTAAGATGGTATCAGTTCTGGCTTGGGCTGGTAGAAAGACAAAGACACGTGAGCAGGGAGCAATGTTTTCTCCCTGGTCCTGTGTGGGATGCCTCACCTGCAAGCCAACAACTGAACTGTAGGCTGTGTTCAGGATTGCATACTGGAAGCCAAGGTATGCAAGGAAGACATGGAGGTGAGGACATCACCTTAGCTGTATTTTAAAACTGCAGTGATTCCCTCCCACTGGAGAACTCATCTGTCATTTCCCACAGTGCATGCATCAGTCCAGCAGGTTGCAAGTCCATGGGCTCACTGCTTGAGAAAGGATGTCACCCTATACTATCACCAGGTACAACCCGAAGCTTTAAACAGTCTGAAAGCCCTTGAGAAGGCGCTCTCGCTGCCTACGGCAGTAGCCGGCTCTACTCTAACAGAGCAGTGGTGGCTGTATATGAACTGAAACAGTAAATTCCCTGCATCGGTCCCCAACTGCGCCCATGTAAGATTTTTTCCTCACCCTTACCGTATCTTATAAAGTCTCAAGAGTCCCAGTGGTAACACCATTTGCTCAAAGAGGAGTCTGGCAGAACAGGATATTCTTGGAAATGTCTGAGAGAAGAGGGCACAGACCAAGACCTTCATAGTTGTGCAGCAAATCTTGAGATGGACATGACCACTCATTGCCCTCCTTTCTTTGCCTACCCTGCCTAGTCCTCTTCTGCACAGGGTAATTCCCCCTTGTGAAAAGCTCCACTCCTGATAACAAGCCTTGGAGAACAGGCAGACGTGCAGGCACCTTTTTCATGTCAATCTAGTTAGAGTTTATTGATTCCCCTTGCCTTCAGCTAATGTACTTTTATTATTATTAACAAATAATCATCATTTTTCCATCAGTAGAGCCTGCACCCGGAAGCCTTGGAGGATTCTAGCAAAAGTATTATTAAATCTAAAGGTTTCTAAAGGGTTGAACAGCAGCACGGCCCAGTAATCTGACAGAATCTGCAACTGGGGAGCAAAATAGCCCCACTTGAGAATATTCGATAGAGCATCAAATTGGCTCCTTTCCCCAGAGCCACCATTTAAAACTGTGGCCTCCTGTTCATGATCACTTCTCCTTTGTTGTCATTCCCCAAGGATGCAAAGGGTGCAGGTGGCTCTTGGGGAGCTGTTGCCCGGGCACGCAGGCTCTTGCAGGACCCTGTCCTGGCATGGTGCATGACTCACTGCACCATGCCGGGTGCAGGTGGCTCTTGGGGAGCTGTTGCCCGGGCACGCAGGCTCTTGCAGGACCCTGTCCTGGCATGGTGCATGACTCACTGCACCATGCCGGGTGCAGGTGGCTCTTGGGGAGCTGTTGCCCGGGCACGCAGGCTCTTGCAGGACCCTGTCCTGGCATGGTGCATGACTCACTGCACCATGCCGGGTGCAGGTGGCTCTTGGGGAGCTGTTGCCCGGGCACGCAGGCTCTTGCAGGACCCTGTCCTGGCATGGTGCATGACTCACTGCACCTGGAGTGCCAAAGATGCTGCTGTGTGCTCCTCCTGGCTGGCACCCCCTCTGCAATAGCTGCCCAGGCAGCCTCCATCCTCCCTCCTCTGCCTGGCCAGCTGCAGACCCTGGTCCTGGCCCTCCCAGCTTACAAAGATCCAGGAGCTCTTTCCCAATCTAGGGAGAAGCATTGCCTGGAGGGGATGGTTCCTTCTAGAGGATTGCGTGCATTCCAGAGGGACCTGGACAAGCTTGAGAAGTGGGCCT